TGGGAAGTCATTTCTGATGAACATGGTATCGATGCTTGCGGGACTTACAAAGGCGATTCAGACTTACAATTGGAAAGAATCAATGTTTATTACAATGAAGCTACGGGTAGGACTTGCTTATAGATTCAAGTAATTGAGCGCTTTATTTCTTTGACAGCAGGAATATATGAAATCACTCTTCTTATTCATAATAGTGCTAATTATAACAATGTAAATGTAAAAAGCGAGTAGTATAAATTGATTTTAACCGCGTGCTTTGTTTTAACAGGAGGTAAATATGTTCCTCGCGCGGTTCTTGTCGACTTGGAGCCTGGAACCATGGATTCTGTTAAAGCTGGTCCATTTGGACAGCTTTTTAGGCCTGATAACTACGTCTTTGGTGAGAATTAGTTGTAAATCCTGCATGTTCGAAGTAGTTCAATGGATAAAATAGGAGTAAGTGACTTATTTGCATAATGAAATTAAGATCTGCACATGTAGTTAGCGGAGCACCAGATGTTTTGTGGTAATTTCACTGCCGAATTACCCAAAAAAAATCAGTACAAAACGAAATAAATAACATCCTCAAAATGCTTTTTTAAAAACAGTAAAACACAGCAGAGACAGTTCCTACAGCGCGGAACAAAAAGAAAACGTCAAAAAAGTAAATAAAGTTCTTGAGATCAGACCGCCCTTGCTGCAAAAATGAGTACCAAAAAATAACGAAAATTATTAAAAAATACATGTGCGCATTTCAAATTTTATTCCCAAAAGTCAGCCACATTTCTCTATTTTCTGAACGACATTACACATGAGAACGGAGAAAAAAGGTTGGAATCGTTTGTAATTTCGTTGAAGTTTTTTTTATTTTCTTGTTTTTGTCTTTTCTTTCCTCTATTCCTTACATTTCAAATTCCTTTCTTTTTCTGTCTGTGGGATGCGATATTTTCCAGGTAACCTAATGATTATACAAATTTTCCTCTCAAATATTGGCACATTTTTATCGAGGCGACTCACAAGCATCAACATTCTCAGAACTAATTTTAAAAGAAATATATGTTAACTGGTAAGGAGAATTTATATTTCCAGCCTTTAAAAAAACGTATTCATTATTTTCGACAGGTCAAAGTGGAGCGGGGAATAACTGGGCCAAAGGTCATTACACCGAGGGCGCGGAGTTGGTGGACTCGGTACTAGATGTGGTGCGCAGGGAGACTGAGGGCTGCGACTGCGTACA